CTGAGCATGGTTCAGTGTTGGACGGGCTAAGGACTCCACATATGTTCAATTGGGCTGAATTTTGGATATGTTATACTAGACACCCAATTGAACAACTTCTATGAAGAATGTCTCCTCATCCGAGTTGTACAGATTACTGAAATGAGACCTGCAAGATGACTTACGAAACTGGACTGACAAGGAGTGTGGCCCAACTTTGGTTTTGTCTTTAAGCTCTTGCTCTTTGCCAATCAGCCCTTAACATGCATGGATTGCATCAAATGTGATCTCTTGCTATCTTAACCTACAAAACACACAAACATAGGTAAGTGACTCAAAATAAAGAGAAACTAAGCAAAATCACTAAGTAAAGAAGGCATGCAAGTGTATGAAATTATGGACTTATCAAAATAGAAAATGAATTAAAAGCACAAGTTTAACTCAATAACATAACCAAATCATAAGCTAGAAGGGTACAAAATGATATACAATTATGAACCGATCAGTTGGGTAGTGAAAAACATGTCCACATTGACATGCATAATTCATTTATGCCTAAAACGTAATAAACTGGTGATACGTTGGTGATACAGGGGCGATACAGAAGCGATAAAAGGGTGCTACAAATTGCTGTTTCAGTTTATTTTGGGCTTCTTCTTTTGTTTCATTTCATTTACTTAGCTTTAATAATTGGATGATTACGAGATCAATTTGTGTCAATTATTAATACAACAATTACATATATGAAGATTAAGACGAACAACATATCGTATCACCAAACATAATCAAACCACCAAATGTAATCATCCTTTTCTTCAACCCATCACGAAGCATTTGCTTATTTATTCATACCTTCCTTTTTCTGTAAATTAAATTTTTGTTGTTATTATTTTTTAAAATAGTTTGTTACAATGTCTTACGATGCAATTATGATGCACCTGAATGCCTGTTTTTGAAAGGCACGTTGTTTCTTTCTCATCCTCATCTTCTTTTTGAATGAACTAGGGCCTAAACCGTAAACCCATTCATGAGCCGTATTCAATATACATGCAATATAATAGCAATATGAGGCCAATATAACCACAATACGACAGCAATAGTAGCACAATATACATGCAATAGGGTGGCAATATGCATACAATATCTATACAATACAAAGGCAATATTAGTACAATATCCATGCAATAGGAAAGCAATATTAAGTCAATCTACATACAATACACACATCCATTGCACACTACAATTTAGACATGCAAAATAAATCGCCACCGAACCCTCACAATACTATCCCGCAAAGGGAAAATGAAGGCAACACTTTCACATCGCATCACCCAGCACCACATGAACCGAACCAGCACTCACCCTTACTAGAGGTCCATCAAAAGATCCATGTCTTTGGTCTTCCTCCTTGCTGCATGCACGAGGCTATGATGAGCCATTCCCTCTCCACCCATATTCAGCACCTCCCAGACACCAGCTACATCAATTTCACTCCAATTGTAGTCTGGTGAGATGACCGAAGCATAATCTCGGAACATTTCAAAGCCTTTGTTGAAACATTCAACCATGTCATGGTTATATTCTTCAGATTTTGAGAATTTTTCGACCGCATATTTCTTTGTGTCTTCCAATTTTAACTTGAGGGCCTCTAACTCTTTGCTCCGACTTATTGCTTTTAGAGTTTGCTTAACTTCGCCTGCATAAGCTTTGTTCAACTTGTTTGACAAGTTTCCCATAACTTGCCCATGAATATCACATTTCGTCTCCCACCAATCTGTTGCCTTTGACAAATATTGGAGATCCTGCTTGACGGCACAGATTTTGTCAAGCGGATCATTGCTCTCAGCCTCACTTCCAGATGAAGTGGGATCGTGATTGGGAGTCACAGGTGGAGATGGGAACGGCACATGCCACGACAGGTCTCCCGGGTAACAGACATGGTCGTTTGGAGGGCGTACGTCCGACATATTTAAGTATCGTTGGGGACAAGTCACAGCTGCAGTCTGCACACAAAAAAAAAAAAAAAACGTACATTCAGTCAACAGTTTCACGTTATGAAAACTTGTGAACAACAATAACAGCAACAATAATTACCTTTCCCGTTAAGAAGGTGCCTATGCTGCAGAAATGGTAGGAAGCTTCAGTTATATGTAGGAACTTGTCTGAAGTATATTGGGTATATAGTTGGTGCGTTAAATTGATTGGCTTGCAAAGTACACCTTTGACTACTTGGCTGTCATTTATAGCAGTAGAGCATTACAATAACAGCAATAAAAGTGCCTTACAAATGAAACCAAACCAAACCTTATTGACAAAATGGAAATTGTGGATTTCAGGCCAAAATTGGACTATGTCACTAACAAATGGTAGGAAGCTTCAGTTATATGTACGAACTTGTCTGAAGTATATTGGTATATAGTTGGTGCATTAAATTGATGGGATTGCAAACTACAACATTTACTACTTGGCTGTCATTTACAGCAGTAGAGCATTACAATAACAACAATAAAAGTGCCTTACAAACGAAACAAAACCAAACCTTAATGACAAAATGGAAATTGTGGATTTGAAGCCAAAAAAGGACTATGTAACTAACTAATTATATATATAGAGGAATATATGAAACTTTGGGGATATACGAAAATTCCCACGTACAAATTGGAACATAGAAAAAGTAAATTAGGCACATATGAAATAGGCCAATTAGAAAATAGGTAAATTGGAAGATTGGAAATAAGGAAACTTGGAAAATTGGAAAACTGGAAAATTGGAAAATTGGAAATAGGACAAAAGAAAAATTGGAAAATAGGAAAATAGGAAAATTGGAAATCAAGAAACTTGGAAATAGAAAAATAGGAAAAGTGGAAATAGGACAAATGGAAACTTGGGAAATTGGAAAATTGGAAAATTGGAAAATAGGAAAAAAGGAAAATAGGAAATAGGAAAAAAGGAAACTTGGATAATTGGAAAACTGGAAAACTGGAAAACTAGAAAATTGGAAAATTGGAAAATTGGAAAATCTGAAATTTGGAATATTGGAAATAGGAAAAAATGAAACTTGGCAAATAGGAAAATTGGAAATAGGAACAAAGGAAACTTAGAAAATTGGAAAATTGGAAAATTGGAAATAGGAAAAAAAGGAAACTTGGCAAATACGAAAATTGGAAATAGGAAAAAAAGAAACTTGCAAAATAGGAAAATAGGAACATTGGAAAATGGAAAATAGGAAACTTGCAAGGCAAATTGGAAAATTGGATAATAGGAAAAATGGAACATTGGAAACGAATTGAAATTGCGGAAATGGGAAATAAGAAAATGACCATATTGGACAATTTGTATTAGTTGGTGAATTAGGCAAATTATTTCAATTACATAATGGGAAATGTACCAAATTTGGAAAATCCAAAATAGAAATATATTAAAAAAAGGCATAAAGCCAACTGGGCAATAACTCCCGCCCAAGACTCCCGCCAATTACTATCTCATTTACTCCACATCATCAATGACTACCTATATTAATCAACCCAGCTATATGAAGGGATTTCGACAAAATACAAAGCTATCTGAAGGGAAAACTTGCATGACGTTAACTCCTTGCAGCCATTACCTTCCCCACTAATTTCACTCACAACGCATTTAGTCCCACTTTTCTCCAATTAAGTCCCACACCAGCCTACAATAAATATCCAAAACCATGGACCATAACCTCACACCAAACCCAACGCTTTCAATTACTAAAGGAAGGGAGACTGAAACAGAAGCCAAGTCACCCAATTCACTCATTGCAGACTTGGTCCATGGCATGCAGTAATGTCGAGGCAATACCATGTTTTGGAAAAGTCTCCATGCAAACATAGTTTCAAAAATTGTGGAGGGCCAAGCTAGGTGGGATGTCATAAGAAAGCGCACATTTCACTCTCATTGTCATGCCCACATGCATCTCCTCCATATAAAGGGTATGAAAGCCAAAATTGAAATTGCCCCTGCCACTGCAATTATGGTATTCAAGGAATCTGATGAAATGGCCCAGTTGAAGCAACAACAAGTGGAAACCGGATTCGAACTATTTCGTAAGTTTGCAAAAATAGTGGATCCAAAAGGAAACTGGGACAACATTACTGTGGGCGGGGTCATGAATTTCATGGGTTGCGGTCACCGTAATTGAAGAGTATGCAACTTCGAATGTGGCAATAGCAGAAAATTTGTGACACTTTAATATGACTTTGGACTGGCTGTAAAATGTAGTGGAAACAACATGTAAAATGGAATCATGTTCAGGTGGCCTCTTTTTGTATTAAGTAACTATGGGGTGGCCTCTACTTGTATTATGTAAGTTTGAAAATTAGATTTTATGGAATTATGATGCCTCTTTTTGTATTTCTGCGTATACAGTTTATCCGTGTCCAGTTCAGTGGCGATATAGAGGCAATAAATCCACAATAAGCATGTGTTTAATGGCAATATGATGTCAATAAGAGTACAATAGAGTTGCAATACGATCCTTTTGCAGTAGGTACTGCATCAGCATGGTTTTTAAAATATCATAGACGAAAAAAGTACAAAAAAGTAAACCAAAATTAAATTAAAAATTGGAAAAGGGATGAAGTATAAATCCCTTAAAAGACAGATGGCCCACATTACACACCTTCAATATGGACTCTATATATACAAATCATGCCTTGCATCACCATCACATCCCCCCCTAAATTACAGAAACATGACACCAAAAAACCTCATGCTCCTTCCTCTTTCAACCCCTAAATTATCCATCGGATGCCTAATACTAGATGGCTGCTTGGGCGGTGGGATACCCTACAACTCCATAACATAATTGGTAAGGCAAGAGCGGTTTCGGAAAGACGCAACTTTGTCTCCAACTTACGGTTAGAGCTCAGCTCCCACCCGCACATGGCAGACTAGGGGGCTCCTTCCTCTACATATTCACATAATTCAGCTTCTCATTTCGTCGATTGCAATAAGTAGGCAACCTTTATCATGCATCATACCCCAACTTAATAGGGATGGAGCCATTGGAAGACATATATGTTCATGGCGTTCATGATGCTCAACAACTCATCCATGTCCTTCGAGACATACAAGCATTTATTGCCATTGATCACACCCGGTTACCTGTGAAACTCATTGTCATTGACTCCATTGCTGCATTGTTCAGATCACAGTATCAGACAACACCGGCAGATTTGAAACGACGGTCTGAAATGTTCTTCAAGATATCTGGGACATTGAAGGCTTTAGCAAATAAGTTTGGGTTGGCGGTGGTTGTCACCAACCAAGTGGTGGATTTTATTGGGCCACATGATGGAGTGAATGGGGTAAGGTTGAGAAACTTGGAGTGCATGCACACATCAGGCAGAAGGGTGAGTCCAGCTTTGGGACTGGCTTGGGTACATTGCATAAATTCAAGGTGTTCTTGGCAAGACATCAGCAATCTGTTGGGGTTAACAGTCGTAATGCTCCTTCACGAACTATATCTAGTCAAACACATATGACATTTGACCTTGTATTTGCCCCCCATTTGCCCCATGCATCGGCTGAATTTGTAATCAGAAAAGAAGGTGTAGTAGGAGTATCACAGTAATTGTGTAATAATGGAATTCTAAGAACTTTAATATTTTGGATCCATTTGGAGTTACATTCCAGGCCCTTTAATTTCGTACACACAGTTTAAATTGCAATAGCAATACCAGTACAATAAATGTACAATATAATGACAATCTGGAGGCAATAAAATTACAATATGATAGCGATACTGTCACAATAAATAGGGAACACAGCATGATGTATAGCAATGCAACCCAAATTATGCAAATTTAACACAATTCACATTCAACAAACACGAAACCCACCACAAATCAAATTAAAGTTGACATTACCTAACAAAGCAACCGAAATCATATTTTCTAAGATACATTGCGCAATGGAATATTATTTTTACAGGTGGTTTTATTGTGGCCTGTGGAACCGCACCTTGAGCACTTTCTTGTAATGGTGCCCTCTCCTTGCGAGGGAATTCTTAGCTTCTTCCGTCTGCCTGGCATGACCTTTGCCATGGGAGGCAGCACAACTCGACTTCGAACATGTTCAGGAATAACCCACATTACGTGAGGCTGTATGTTCGGTTCATTTTTACACATGATTTTTCATGTTATTCACCTACTATTTTGAGTTAGTTCTTGACATTTTATAGCTTTTTACTTCCTTTTTGTGTTTTCTTAGATTTTGCCTTGGTTGGGATGAAAATGAGCTAAAAGTGCATTATTAGTTATAAATTCTGTTTTTGTTCATTTTCGTAGGTCAACTTCTTGGCCTGGGATCAACATGCTCTGTTGCTCGGATGAGGTCATGATCTTCATGAGACTTGTTCCAATGGATGTTAACTACAACATATCCAAATTTGAGCTTCATTGGACAAGTATTGCCTATCCAACCAATCCATCATGTTACCACAGTTCTGGAAATCCGGATTTGGCCAGCTTTTACCTCCCTTGTGTCATCTTAACTTCTTGTTACCATAACTCTTGGTAACAAGGAATTACATTTGTAAAATAGATATTTTCGGAGCTTTTGGCATCTTTGTGAAGTCAAAGCTCCATCATGGCAAGGGGACAATGGGCTAAGGATTTATCAAAGGTGGTAGTTTTATATTAAAAGGTAAAAGCTGGAAAGGAGGAGAGAGGGAAGGAAAGGAATTGCAATCTGAAGTTGGGAGAGCCTTTTGAACGTGGGAAAGAAAGTCATTGAGGAGATTACACAGAGGAGAGCAGATTTTGGAGAGCTTGGAGCTTGGAGAAGGCCAAGGTGCAGCCAAGCTAAGTGGAGAAGAAAGCT